GATCATAATTGCTAGGGAAAAAGAAGATAGGGAGTGGTTGGTAGTCATTTTAAATAGGATTACCACTTTGCTGACAAAGTGACATTTGAGGAAAGACTTCCAGGGGGTGAGGTCTTGGAAAATACGGAAATCTGTGGGGGGGAGCCTTCCAGGCCGAGTAGAAAGCAAAGTGCAAAGGGCCCAAGATGGAAGCATCTCTGGTGTATTCAAGGAAAGCAAGGCCAGCAGGGCTGGAATAAGGTGAGAAGGAAGGCGAGAGGAAATATGATTACAGAGGTATTCATGATCCAGATCTCAGGGGTCTTTTGTAGTCCCTGGTAAGGATTTTACTCTGTAAATACCAAGGGAAGCCAGTGGAAGTTTCTGAGTGGAAGAGGAGCATAAACTCATAAGGATCACTTTGGGGGCTGGTATAAGACTGTAAACTCTGGAGATGTTGAGGGCAGAAGCAGAGAGGTCAGTTAGGGCAGGGGTCCCCAACCTCCAGGTCATGGACTGATACCGGCCTATTAGGAACCAGGCTGCACAGCAGGAGGTGAGTGGCGGGCAGGTGAAGCTTCACCTGTATTTACAGCCCATCCCCATCACTCTCATGACTGCCCGAGCTCCACCTCCTGTGAGATAAGTGGCGGCATTAGATTCTCACAGGAGCGTGAACCCTACTGTGAACTGTGCATTCGAGGGATCTAGGTTGCAGGCTCCTTATGAGAATCATCCTGAAACCATCCCCATCTCCCAGTCCATGGAAAAACTGTTTTCCACAAAACTGGTAGATGGTGCCAAAAAGGTTGAGGACTGCCGAGTTAGGGGGTTTATTTGCAATAATCGAGGCAAGAGATGGTGGTGGCTCAGACTAAGAAGAGAGCAAGAGGAGTGGTGCAAAGTGATCAGATTCTGGATATGAATAATACTTGTTTTAAAAGTGTGTTTGCTCAAGTTTAATTTCTTTAATTGAGGTAGAGAATGGACTGAGACAGAAAAGAGCTGGGTTGTACTACCAGCTGTAGATCTCAATTTCTCCATCCCTAAAATGGGGAAAAGGGCTACTGATCATGAAAATAGGAATAAAAGTGACCAAAGATCTTGGAAAGGTTCTTTTGCCCACTATGTAAAGCCTACTCTCCTCCCTCTCACCTCACACCAATGTATTTCCAATATACTTACTGTGCGCTATTTAGAAAAATGTCCAAACTCTCCACAAGAAAAGGTTGGCGGGCAGGGGAAACATGGCAGATGGGAGAGAAATATTTCAGTGACTGCTAGTTTTTTGTCTCTCTTCCAGAGCTTTGTTTACAAGTGGCTGGAACAACACTGAAAAGAAGGTATACAACATCCCTGGCATTTCCCCCGACATGATGAAGCTGATTATCGAATATGCATACACTCGGACGGTCCCCATCACACCGGATAACGTGGAGAAACTCTTGGCTGCTGCAGACCAATTTAACATCATGGGTATTGTCAGGGGTTGCTGTGAGTTCCTCAAGTCGGAGCTGTGTTTGGATAACTGTATCGGCATCTGCAAGTTCACAGACTACTACTACTGCCCTGAGCTGAGGCAGAAGGCCTACATGTTCATACTGCACAACTTTGAGGAGATGGTGAAAGTCTCAGCAGAGTTTTTAGAGCTCTCAGTCACTGAACTTAAGGATATCATTGAGAAAGACGAGCTCAACGTCAAACAAGAAGATGCTGTATTTGAGGCCATTTTAAAATGGATTTCTCATGACCCCCAAAATAGGAAGCAGCATATTTCAGTTTTGCTTCCCAAGGTCATTTAGTTATTTTTTGTGGGATGCTTTAATTGTTCACTTTTTTCTGGCTGAGCCATGAGACTTGCGGGATCTTAGTTCCACGAAGTGCAGTGAAAGTCACTCAGTTGTGTCCGACTCTTTGCCACCTCATGGACTATACAGTTCATGGAGTTCTCCAGGCCAGAATACTGGAGTGGGTAGCTGTTCCCTTCTCCAGGGGATCTTCCCAACCCAGGGATCAAACCCTGGTCTCTCACATTATAGGCGGATTCTTTACCAGCTGAGCCACAAGGGAAGCCCAAGAATACTGGAGTGGGTAGCCTGTCCCTTCTCCAGCGGATCTTTCCAACCCAGGAATCAAAACAGGGGTCTCCTGCATGGCAGGTGGATTCTTTACCAACGGAGTCAGTTCCATGCCCAGGGATCAAAGCCATGCCCCTAGCATGGAAGTTCACTTGGAGTCCTAACCACTGGACCACCAGGGAATTCCCTTAATTGCTCACTTTTGATTCATTAATCCCAGAGGGATTGTCCCAAGAACTACACTCAGATGTTTGACAGATGCCAGAGTTATATTTGTATATATACTTATATGTAATATATATATAAATATATACTTATATATGTGGGCTTCTCAGGTGGCACTAGCGGTAAAGAACCTGCCTGCCAATGCAGGAGATGTAGGAGACTTGGGTTTGACCCCTGGGTCGGGAAGATCTCTTGGATGAGGGCATGGCAACCCACTCCAATATGCTTGCCTGGACAATCCCATGGACAGAGGAGCCTGGTGGGCTCCGGTCCATAAGGTCACAAAGAGCTGGACACAACTGAAACGATTTAGCATGCAGTCACTTATAGATGTACATATGTAGAAGGCACCCCCTGCCATTCTCTGGAATTTTGAAGCTTTCTTCACCCCTAGCATGGCTAGTTCCTTCTGCCCCAGTTATTTTCTCTTTGACCAAAATTCTGATATTGGGGGAAGGAGAAGGCAGGTCTTCAAAAGAATTCTAAAAGGTCTTCCTTTCACCTCTTTCCTTCTGTGAGTTTCCCCAACCAAAACAGGAGCTGGACTAGAAACCAGATCATGAGCATTGCACTCAATTGTAGCCATCTGGTGCTAATTCATGTTACTTTATATAGAGAGACATAGATATCCAATCACTCAACAATGACCCAAACTTTTTCTGGTCTAAAAGTCCTGTCCAGGGGCCAAGGAATGGACTAGCCCTGTGACCACTTGAGGTGGCTTCTATCTCACTCATTCTCAGCATCCAAATGTAAGTTACAAAAATAAAATATGACCCTAGTGCATTCAGTGGAGGCTGTGAAGTTGTGGGCTTAAGGACATGGGTTTTTCAGACACCTCACCCCATCTGAATGACTTTCTGTATTTCCTTCTTAGGTTCGCCTGGCCTTAATGCATGCTGAATATTTCATGAACAATGTTAAAATGAATGACTATGTCAAAGACAGTGAGGAATGCAAGCCAGTCATCATAAATGCCCTGAAGGCCATGTATGACCTAAACATGAATGGACCTTCTAATTCTGATTTCACCAATCCACTCACCAGGCCCCGCCTGCCCTATGCCATCCTATTTGCAATTGGTGGCTGGAGTGGTGGGAGCCCCACCAATGCCATTGAGGCATATGATGCTCGGGCAGACAGATGGGTGAATGTCACTTGTGAGGAAGAGAGTCCTCGTGCCTACCATGGGGCAGCCTATTTGAAAGGCTATGTTTATATCATTGGGGGGTTTGATAGTGTGGACTATTTCAATAGTGTTAAGCGTTTTGACCCAGTCAAGAAAACCTGGCACCAGGTGGCCCCAATGCACTCCAGGCGTTGCTACGTCAGTGTGACAGTCCTCAGCAATTTTATTTACGCCATGGGAGGCTTTGATGGCTATGTGCGTCTCAACACTGCTGAACGTTACGAGCCAGAGACCAACCAGTGGACACTCATCGCCCCCATGCATGAGCAGAGGAGTGATGCGAGTGCCACCACACTCTACGGAAAGGTGAGGCCCCGGGGAAGGTGGAAATAACGCTGTGTTTTTTGAGGTGGATGGAGAACAGAAGTGGCGGTATTCACCCTGCAATACTAACCTCTTCATCCAATGACTGAGTGGCCCTTTGTAACTATCTTTTACTTGTTAAAAAGCAGTGTGTGCACGTGTGGAAAAAACTCAGACTGCACACTGGCATCTGAAGTATCCTCCGCCCCCAGCCACCATCATATACACCCTCTTTCTACTTCCCAGAAGTAACAATTTTACTCATCTTGGAACTCTCTTCACACAGGTCTACATATGTGGTGGGTTTAATGGAAACGAATGCCTGTTTACAGCAGAAGTGTACAACGCTGAGAGTAATCAGTGGACAGTCATAGCACCCATGAGAAGCAGGAGGAGTGGGATAGGTGTAATTGCTTATGGAGAACACGTATATGCGGTGAGTTTCTTTCATACAACAAAATTGATAGCCTAGGTTTTCTATTAGCAAATAGGTTTACACTACCAGTGGGAAGCATTTGCAAGCTTTGTCTTCCACTGGAAGACAGTGGAAGAGGGAGGTATGAAATCACAGGTCCCTACAAGGAGGGGATCCTCAGTGAACAGAAGCCATGGTTAACAGCCAGTCGGGTTTCCTCTGCTGTCCACAGGTAGGCGGCTTTGACGGAGCTAATCGACTTAGGAGTGCAGAAGCCTACAGCCCAGTGGCTAACACTTGGCGCACGATCCCCACTATGTTTAATCCTCGTAGCAATTTTGGCATCGAGGTGGTAGACGACCTCTTGTTTGTGGTGGGTGGTTTTAATGGCTTTACCACCACCTTTAATGTCGAGTGCTATGACGAGAAGACTGACGAGTGGTATGATGCTCACGACATGAGCATATACCGCAGTGCTCTGAGCTGCTGTGTGGTACCAGGGCTGGCCAATGTTGGGGAATACGCAGCTAGACGGGACAACTTCACGGGGCTAGCGCTGCGAGATGAAGTAAAGTACTCTGCCTCGACAAGTACCCTACCTGTATGAGCCTCTTCATATTAGCTAATAAAGAGTCTAAGCAATAAGAATTAATTCTTTTTTTAAATAAATGCAGTGTTTAAACTTGTAAGAGTACTGGAAAATGTTCAACTTAAGGGAGCCAAGGGTTGGATGATGGAAGGGAGTACAAGGGGAAGAAGGAAGCAATTATATTCAATAGTCCATAATTAAAAGGAGAAATCACAGTGCAAGTCAGCTCTAAAGAAATACATTTATTTAAAACTTACATCAAGACGATTAGTAGCTCTAACACAGAACAAGGTAGCTTTAGGAAGATAAAACAAGCTATTTTACAAGGTAATGTCTCAGACTGTCCTAAATTCTACCTCTCTGACTTAATTAAAGGGAGACAGTCAAGATTATACTTGCGGTAAGATAGGGGCTCGATATTGCTAGCCCAGAAAACTCACTGTATCAACTTGAACTAAGTATTTATTTTACATGTAACTCAATGAGCCCCTGCACACAGACCATAAGATCTTCAACCACACAGCAAGCACTACTTTTCAGTGAGTGCAAGTGCACTAGGCTGAGGATTGAGTTAGCAAGTGCTCTACTGTATGTGCTTCACGGTCAGACATTCGCAGTAATGGCCATAGAGAGTAAGACAAAAGCCCAACAAAGGTAATCAACAAAGAGCAGTTATTTGTCTATCTAATTAAATTCCTTGAAGCAAAATGACTACTATATTGTGTTACTGTTACTGTATTACATCACTGGGCTATAAGCTGTTTTGTCTCCAATGACCAAAACATGTTATAATGTAAGCATTATAACAGAAACAAAAATGGACTATTCTCAAGAAAGTAACAAGCTGGAGTGATAAACTGTGCCAAAATGTTTAATAATTTGAAAAAGGAAGAGACTGAATTGTTTCTCCAAATAGTCTAAGGTTAAATGAGAACCTATAAACACCCTATTTTTCTAGTGTAGGCAGAGGACTGGCTTCACAATTCTACGTATTTGGAAAAGACATGAAATGTGGCTGATACACCCTTTTTAAGCTTAGTTTGAAGCAAGTACAAAAACCATCCCTTTGGTTATGCTTGATTAGGCCAAGTAACTAAAATGTACAATTTAGCTTACCTGTCTACCTATGTATAGTGTTCATATTAGAATTATGAAGCAGAGAATGAAGTATTTAAACATACCACATGCTACACTAGTCAAGAAACATAAAAGGAAAAAAAAGTAAGTGTGCTCTAGAAACTGCCTTACCGGCAGCCTGAAGAGTTTAATACACAAAAGCACACAAATCTGCCATAAACATTATCTTTCCAGCTTCAAACCTCTGTTTTACATAAAAAAAGATTTCAATTTATTTTTTGGTCCCAGAAATACTATACAAAACCCAGTAATCAAGACAAAACTGATGTCCATACATTTTTAGGTTTTCTTTGTTTTTTTAAAGCAAAATTGTTTTAAATTGGCACAGCAAAAGCAAAGTTGTATATCAAGATACACAAGACTAATCATGCAAACAACTGCAAGTGAGAGGCATTACTTAAACACTAAGCTCATGACTGACATTCTCAATATGTACACCGGCTTTTTTTTTTTTTTTAAACTGTGGTGGGGTAGGTATACTCAAAGGATATCCATTCCAAGATCTAAGCAGCCTCACTTTAAGTTATATACAGTTCTTACTTTTTGATATAATCAATTCCCCTCTTTTCCCTCTACAAAACAAAAGCAACAACAAAAAAGGTTTGCTTAAATACATGTTAAGCTGCCTTTTTAAAGCTGTATTTTTAACTTCTTAAATTGTCAAATGCAATCTTTAGTTTTCATTAAAAAGGAAATTTCTTTCCCAAAGAGCCATTTCAGGCTGGTCATCATAATCAGAACCTTTCCAAATGCTGAGGGATGTTATTTCTAGTTTAAAATGTCAGAATGTCAGCCTTGAACAGATTTAAGCAAATCTGGTTTCTTTCCTTATTAACAAGTTAGTTAGGATATTTTAGAAACACAAGTTATCGATGTGAAATCACACATGTGAATTCAAATATGAAAATTAGGAATTCAGTGGTCAGGAACCCTGCACACATGATCATGCAAGGAAGGACTTACCCTCTCTTTCCAGCCATGGCCTAGGCTGCCTGCCGAGTTAAAAAACAATAGTTTCAATCACGTTTTCAAAACCAGATTATACCTAAATCTTATGAGTTATGGCTTCTGCTACATCATGTGAAAAAAAGACAACCCTACAAGTAACTTGGTAAAGACTATCTCAGAAGACCGAAAAAAAAAAAAAAGCAATTAAAAAACCTGACATCACACCCTCCTGGAAAGAAACTGGTACCTTAATGAGCTACTAAATTATTTCAACACCATCACTCAGAAAAGGAAGTTTGCTAGTATAGTCTATCAGAGAGAAATGAGAACGCCATTCAATGAGCTTTTCTGTCTTGCATAGACCTCTCACAACTAATCAGCAATTCTCAGAATCTAATAACTTTTATTGAAATAGCTACAAATAAGTGGAAATTAAGGAAATGGTAGAGATGGGGTAGGATAATATATTCTCATATAGAAATAGACTTGCAGTTTCCCATCCCTACTCTGGGCTAAATTAAATGCATTTAAAGTAGATTTCCAACACATTTTTCAAAAACATTCTTAGGCAAGGATACCAATTTAGAAATTTCAGGTAATTTCTTAGTAATAGAGTCCAAGGGCTAAGCATTAATAGTCCTGCAGCACACTGAGAGCCAAAATTCCTGGTTGTGCTGCTGCTTTTGATGTTTGATCCAACTGGTAAGAACCATAATGAACTGGGGGGAAAAAAATCACTGCACTTGGAATTTACCTTCTAGAATAGTATTCCACAATGTCCAAGAAGGTAGAAACATTCTGAAAGAAACAAGAAAAGTATACTGGACCCCACACTTCAAACCACTAGAGCAGGAGTTTCTTACATTAACTGAGTGCTAAAGGTCAACCTATGTGATAATTTGCATACTGCCTGGGCACAGGTAAGATCAGAAGAATGCATTAGAATAAAATAAAAGATAACCACAGTGATCAATTTTTAAGAGTCAAATGTTGTAGTCTAGGCTTAGGCAAAGTTCCAATGAAGGTCTAGGGCAAATGGATAAAACATTGTAATAATCCAGGTTGAGAAATAATAAGGCATCTCTTTAGCAACATTTCCCTAAACTGTTACTTCCTTCCTTCCTATTTTGAAAAGTTTCTTTTAGAAAGGAATGATGAGGATTCCATATAATATGCATTAGAGCAAAATTTAAAACTAAAGGCAATGAGTGTCGATTGTCAGAGGCATTATTTACACTCAGTAACTTATCTTCAAATAACTCCTGAAAAAAGTGTTTTAAAATTTTTCAATGCCTTTGATTTCTTATTCTAGACTAGTAATATTTTTCTGCTTAGAGAAACAAATTTAAAAGATATAACTTCCTCTGTAATCAATTCATCAGCTAAAGATCAGTACTCTTGCTAACCACCATTATCTCAGAGTGATGGCCTGAAGTTTACAACAGAGATGCTAAAGAAATGAAAAATACTCCATAAATGCCAATCACAAATTTCTCATCAGTCATGTCTTCTAGAAATAAACAAGACAGTATTTCAAAATAAACAAAGATAACAAAATAGCAATGCAAACATCGTGAAATCATCTTGCTGAAACATTGTGCTTTTTTTTTTTTTTTTTAATCATTGTGCTTTTTCCTTCAGACTTCAACCTCACTATTGCACATTCCTCCTATAGATGAGGGCTCAATGCATGTATTCTGATCTTGTCAAAACCAACCATTCAGGGAAAAAAATGAAAAAGATTATCAAAATAAATGTGCAAATAAAATCGGTGCTTAAAGCATGTTCAAAACATAAGTCCCTAAGACAAAGAAGTTATAAACTGTTGGCAGAAAAACAACCAAGTAACTACACCTGGTTTTTCCATTTATCTTTAATAAGATCTTATTTTGCCAACATACACACAAACCAATGACAGATAAAGACTGCAAACTTTTACCACGTACTGAACTGATTTTCCCATTCTTCAGTTTTTAACTATATTTCCTTTATATGAGGTGATAATCCATCCATGTAGAAAATAAGTTATTGACCTACTTTTTCAAGTAACAGTCTGGGTATCTTCAGCCTCATGAAAAAGTCTGTTTTAAGCTGCACACATCAAAGAACCTAACATTCTATCTGAGAGCTTGGCACTCGCCGCATGTTTAGGGCATGTCGATGTATTTCTTGCATCTGTCTGATCCGGTCCTTCTGCCACATTAAGTTTTGAGGCATAGGATATCTCTGAGTGCCATGCAAGTACCGGTATGGGATTCTCACGTGGCAGGCAGTGGCTCGACAACGGGGTTGTGGCATGGGAGGAAGAAGCATCCACCGCTTTCTCTCAGCACAGTATCGGTAGGCTTCTTTTCGATACTGTTTGTCAATATCATCACTGTTTTTCCAGCCTCCAATAATGAAAACGTCATCTTTGTAATAGCAAATGGCCGCTCCTTCAATGCTTAGGACTTCCGGGGGTAAACTTTCAAGGATCTCATCAGAAACCTGGCTGGCAATTTTTCGTATCGCCTCTTCATTTTCTAAAGAGTAACTCTTGGGGCAGCATGAGGCTGTCTGGTAAAAGTTTGAGTTGACCACAGACATTTGGAAAAAGCAGTAATTGTCAATAAGCGGCAAAGATTCCACATCTTGCCACTGTCGAGTCTCTGTGTCATAGCAAGTAATGACAGCCTTTAATCCATCTTCAGTGTCCCGGTCCACAGGAGTGCGGGCAGCAATGTACACAAACCGGTCTTCAATGGCGAGCGCTTTCACATCCCGAAGAATCTTTGGCGCGGATTCCAAGTTGTGCCATTTATCTAGCTCGGGATTATAAACAGTCACATCTTTAAAACCGGGACTGAAGTTGCCATGTCCTCCAATGCTGTAGAGCTTCCCCTTGACTTCTGTTAGCCCAAAAGAATGCTTCCTTGTCATCAGACTACAAACGTGTTCCCAGGTGTTCAAATTTGGATTATACCTTTCCACAGTTTTAGCGAACCCTGGTTCCATTGACCCAGCAACATACACGTAGGATTCTGTTACTGCAACGGCATGTCCATCAAGGTGATTATGGATATGGGGTAGGTTGACCCATCTGTCCTCATCGACAAAATATCCCACACATTCACTTAAATAGTCCCCTCCCTCTGACACGCCTCCAATAACCATGATCACGTCCATATTTTGCCCAAAGCGAGGTAATAATGAGACATGAGAAGCAGCATGCTGGAATGTACCAGACTGTATGTTCTCAGCTCTCAGAGCATGCCTCTCCACTGCATCGGCCACCAACTTGACGCAAACTTCATTATTGGCCACCAGCCTCTCTGGTTTGACATGACGAGTAAGGTAAGTAGGTTTCATCTGGGACAATCTGAGCAATTTAAAAAGTTCTTCAAAGTATCGTTCTCTCTCTTCAGCATTTCTCTGAACCCACTTCAAAACTGTTTCAAATAGAACCTCTTCGGAATCAACTGTGATCTCCAAGTCTGACAGCCAGTCTCGGATGAGGTGGAAAGGTAAAGTATAAAATTCCTCATCCTGAATTACTTTGTGGAAGTTTCTCCGTATCATATCCGCCGCTTTCAGAGCAAGCTGGCTTAGGGTATACATGTGAGCTAAGCTATGGATGGCCACACAATTAGAGAGATGAAGCTTTTTCTTGAGAAATTCTCCACAAAACTCTTTTAAACGAATTAATAGGAACCTAAAACCAAGAAAAAGAGGAAGGATTAATTTTCAAACATGCATACTTTGAAAATGCTCTTTGAGAACATCTAAATTATACAAATTGAAATGTAAGTTTCATCTCACTTCATTCACGACACTTTAGGGGAAAAAAGCAAATCCTCCCAAATTAAACAGGATTGTGTGGGAAAGTATGTTTAAAAGCATATGTAAAAATCATCTTTATGTATTTTATTTACATTAGGTAGTTTATATATAATTATATATTATACAAAATTTTGTTATACACACAAAAAAATGAAGTTTTTGATTATGTAAGGTATTTCAGAACATATCCTTTAATAAAGAACAACAGTCCTACACTCTGCTTCCACTGTAATTTACCCTTGGCAAAGGCAAACCTCAATCCAAACTTGTCTGTGCCATCCTGCCCAAGTCCCTGGCCAGCAACCAGTCTCTTCTTAGATGAGGCTGGGTCTCAATGAAGAGACTTCCTTAAGCATCAACTACATGGTATAAAAACTGTGACTCCTGGGAGGCTGTCTGGTCAGATTTCAGAGGGAATGGCAGTGCAGGCTTTGTGTCAGAGGTTTTAATCTTCGTCACCAGAGCTTTCTCCCTGAGTAACCTGGCGGGGTGGTGTTCAGGGGCTTTGTCCGGAGCTGGGTTCTCATTAAAGCAGGAGTGGCAAGGCAAACTCAAAGATCTGAAGAAGCCAAAAAATAAACCAACAGAAAATGTGTAGGCCCGTCCATATTAAAAAGAAAAGCGGTTTGGCATGTAGCTGACTAGACGTTGTTAGCTCACATAAATTAATCTGGCAGAATTAAGCCCTAAGGGTGGCCAATTTGAGACCACTGCTAAGTAGTAAGGGTATGGCAACCCACTCCAGTATACTTGCCTGGAGAATCCCATGGACAGAGGAGCCTGGAGGGCTAAGAGTCCATAGGGTCACAGAGTTGCACACAAATGCAGCGATCTGACACACACACTGCAGCGATTGAGCACGCACACTAAGGATTAAATCTCCAGCACGGAGAACATAAACCATTTAAGAATGGCTTCACCAGTCAGTCCAGGCCTCTCTCACTTCAGTAACCACTTGCTACTATGATTATTGTGCTTAATAACTAACTGACTTGTGATATGAAGATGAATTTCAAGACAGGCTCCCTTTACCCTCTTCAGGGAGCATACCATCTCAGACATAAGACAAAGACAAGGCAGAGTGGTAAGAGCTCTAGTGGCTCTCAAATATGCCTGGGTGCCAGGGTCACTCTTTCTTGGGTTTCCCCACCTTCTACCTGTGATTTTTGGCAGGTGCTCCAAGTAAGCCAACACATATTTCCTTGGACAGGTGTTTGGAAACACTGCTCTATGAAAACAATAGCTGCCTGTGGTATACTAGCCATGTGTCACGTGACAGGGATCATGCTGGGCACTTCTATTATCGCTTTACAGTATAAGTGCCCTGTAAGGAAGGTATGGTCGACAGACAGACTATGTGGGGGAGAAGGAGTTGTAAAGGAATAATCCTGCCTCAAAGTTGATGGGTAAGACTGGCTGTGATGGTTGCAGGGCATAGTGTCAAACACAAAGTGGCTACTCAGCAACTGACATATGGAGAGAAGTTAAAGTTTTAAGTGAATTGTCTGGGGGTGTTCTCTCCTCTCCTCACCCAAGTCTCCAGTAAAGGAGGGGTAAATCTGAAAGAACACAAGCTCACATGACAGAAGAAAACAGAGCTGGAGTGAATGCAATGACCCTTTATCCATCTGCATTCAACAAACCACCCCTTTCAGACATCCACCTGCCACATTCCACCCCACCCTCAAATAGATGACCCAGTATCATGCTTTGAGAAAACAGAAGCAATCAGGCAAAAACTTCTTTTTCCCATTATCCGATCCCTTTTTCCCCCCCCCAAGTCACATCGAGAGGTTTGGAGAATCTTAGTTCTTCAACTAGGGCTTCAACCTGGGTCCCAGCAGTGAAAGCAATGAGTCCTAATCCCTGGACCACCAGAGAATTCCCTCCCACTATTCAATCTGTCTGCCTACAGCTGTAACCTGTACTCTGCCTTCCCCATCCAACTTCTCCACTTTTAATATGGATTCTATCCTCTTCTGGGTTTCAAAGACTCTGGTCCTTATAACATCAATTTCTCCTCTTCCACAGATTCATTTTCATCAGCACACAAACATGCTCCAGGATTTCTCAGGTTGTGTGCATGTGTGCTTAGTCACTCAGTTGAGTCCAACTCTTTTGCGACCCCATGGACTGTAGCCTGCCAGGCTGCCCTGTCCATGGAATTTTCCAGACAAGAATACTGGAGTGGGTTGCCATTTTCTCCTCCAGAGCTCTTCCCGACCCAGGGATCGAACCCAAGTCTCCTGCAGCGGCAGGCGGATTCTTCATCACTGAGCCGCCTGGGAAGCCCATCTCCTAGCTTACAGAGGGAAAAAGACCTCCCTGGATGACTCCTCACACAGGTCCACGAGTATCATTTTTCTGATCCTCTTGACAGGCTATTTCTTAAATACTATTTCTTAAAGATACTGTATTATTTGGCTGCTTGAGTCATCTTTTAGTTGTTGCATGTGGTATCTAGGGTCCCAGACCAGGGATAGAACCTGGGCCCCCTGCATTGGAAGTGCAGCATTTTAGCCACTGGACCACTAGGGAAGTCCCAATGGTCAGACTTAAATGACTCCTGTCAGTGCCATCAATGACCTCTATTATCACCAAATCCAATGATCACTTACAAGTGACAGAGTTGACATGATTGGCCACTCCCTCCTTGATACACTCTAGCCTTCCATGGGAACAGGTGCTCTGCTGGTATCTCTTTAACATTCTGGAGAACCTCAGAGCTCAGTCCTTTGGTTTCTCTTTTCTATCTACACTCTCTTCCTAAGTAATTTTATCCAGTCCCAAAGCTTTAATTACCATCTATATGCTAATTTCCTCCCAATCTCTAGCTCCCAATGCTCTTCCATTCAATGTCTTATTAGACATCTAGTAGAAGACATTTCCTGGACCAAAATCCAAACTTCTGATCTTCCTCCCAAACACTTTCCTACAGTTTTCCACATCTTAATAATAACTCCATCTTTCCAATGGGTCAAAAAACCAGCAGTCTTTTCCCTCATCCCTCACATCAAATCCACTGGCAAATTCCTCTCCTCTGCCTTCAAATACATCTAGAATCAAACCATTTCTCATCACGTTTACTTCTCCCTCCTCAGTCCCCTCTACCACCTCTCTAACAACCTCCTAGTCTCTCTGCTTCTGCCCTTGCATCCCCTTCCCCACCATCTCATACTTTTTCTCAACACAGCAGAATTTTCCAAATCTAGACTGCATCATTACTCTACCCTAAACCTTCCCATGTTACTCAGAGTAGGAGCCCAAGTCCTTCCACAGGCTGACACAGCCCTGTGGGATCTGGATCCATCCCCATTACCACCCTCAGGCCTCTCCTACTTCTCTTGCCCTGCATCCCTCTGATCCAGCCACACTGGCCTTTTGCTATTCTCTAGCCTCCAGAGAAGTTCCATCTCAGGGTTTTTGCACCAGAGGTGTCCCCGACCTGAAACGCTCTTAACCACACCTCTTTCGATTCTTTGCAAATGTCTTTTTCTTCAGGATTTCTCTATCCATTCAATTTAAAAAAACAGCTTCTTTACATCAACATTTTCGGTATGACCTGTCATCCTTATTTTTCAAAATAGCTACAGCAATCATCCAACATGCTGTTTTATTTGCTGTCCATCTACTTATGTAAGTGCAATGCGGAAAGGGACTTTTGTCTATTTTGTTCACTGCTGAATCCCCAGATGCTCAGAACCCAGTGTCTGACTCAGGAGGTAGTTGTTGAAATAACAAATATGCACATAGAATACTGTCCCAAAAGGCTCCTCCCCATCTCCAAACTGCATTCACCTGCTTCCTAAATAGTTTCTGGAATATCCATCTGGGCCCTCTAAAACCCACTTTCCACAGTAGCAGAATCATCTTAAAAATATTTCAGTCAAATCATTTCTTTAGCCAGCTTCACATCACCTTGTAAAATCCAAACTCCTTTTTCCAACTCATTTCACACACCCTTCTCCCCTTCACCCCCTAGATCACGGAATTTTCCTTTTTTTACTTCTTCTCTAAGCCAAACGAGATGCGGGGCCTTTGCGCTATCTGCCAGGAATGGTCATTCCCCATCTTTGCATGGCCAGGATTCCCTTGCCATTTAAAGGTCGGTTTAAATGTCACCTCCTGAGAAAGGTCTTTACGCAATTACTATCCTTTTAAAATGTCAACACTGTACTCATTAAAAGCAGACTTTTTCATTGCCTTTGTCTCTTCACCTGGAGACACGACCCCTCGCCTGAATGGCCGGCTGCACCTCTGTGCCCAGCGCACTCGCGGCCCCACAACACACGGCAGGCGCTCAATTAAGTATCAAACGAATGCACTTTGTTAGGGCTCACTCGAGCCTACCCAGGGCACTGCCCTCCCCGCCTTTTCCCGCGCCCTCCCTGGATGCGGCCCGCAGTCGGCGAGCATCTCCACCCCCGCCCTCCGCATCCCGCCTCCGTCCCCCTACCTGTCGGCCAACTCCAGCACCTCGTGCACACTGCCCGTGCTGACGCGGATGCGCCCGGTGTACATGTATTCGATAACGGCTTCCACCGTGTCGGGTTCGGGCCCGGGCTCGGAGCTCCACTTGCGCATCTCCACCCGGCCCGAGCGGGACTCGGAGAACTGACCCGAGAGCAGCGGCGTGAAGTACTCGGTGGCGGCAGCCAGCACCGAGCGGTGGGCCCGGAACTCTCGGCCTCCCGCACCGCCGAAGCACAAGGTGATGTCGCAGAAGAGGCCCTGGCGCCGCTGTTCGTTCTGCCTCCACGACAGCTCCGAGCAGTGAGAGCTGCACTCGAAATCCTCGGCCTCCGGGCCCGGGTCGCCCCCGCTCGCCTCCATTGCAGACAAACCAGGCCCAGGCCCGAAGTCCACCGTGCCGCTACCTCTGACTTCGGCGGCCAGCCCCGCGGAGCCGGCGGCGGCTGTCTCCATGCTCTCCATCTCCAGCACCTGCAGAGACGCAGCCGCGGCCGCCGCTGCCGCCGCCGCCACAGCCGCAGCCGCCATCTTGACGCCGCCGCGCCCGACTCCTCAGTCCCGGAGCGATTCAGCCGTTCTGGTACGACACAGAGGGATTCTGGGAATAAATAGTGGGCGCGGGGCGGAGCCGGCCGCCGCTGGGTCTGCGCACGCGCCGCCGCGCCTGTACTACGGCGTCCCTCTCCGGTAAGGGGCAACTGATGTGCTCCTGTTGTGACTGTCTTCCCCGGAGGCCGCCCATCCACATGCCCATGGGGACGATGGCTCTTTCCTCCTCCTAGAGAGCAGTGTGTTCTTCGTGGTCGTTTTGTGAAACAAAAGCCACCTTAGACCCTCACCCATTAGTGTCTTGAGTGGCACCGTTGGATTTTTCATTTAAAGGTTTAGAATGGCCTTGGAGTAAAAATGGAAAAAGAAAAAAGATTTGAGACTGAGGCCCAGTTAAGTGAATGAGGGTGAGCAAGTAACTTACTGTCTTTGAACTAATTTTTCTTTTAAAAACGGGATACTGTCTAACTTGGCAGATAGCTGTGAGGGTTAAATGAGGTGTTTAATCTTCAGCTGTTTTTACATAGTGCTTGGTGAGAAGTACTGTTCCATACATACTTGTTTAAAAGATGAATAAAAGCCACTTTGAGGCTTCAGGCAAGGGAGTGACTTAATCAGATGTACCTTTAAAAATCTCTGGTGGGCTGCTAGGATAGTGGGCTGTAAGGAGACAAAAGTAGAACTAGGGGAACTAAGTTAGCAGACCGATATGGACAGATCAGAGAGTTATTTAAAGGATAAATCTACAGGACTTGGCAACCAGAGAAGTGAAGCCAAGGATGCCTTCCAGGTGTTTGGCTTGAGTATCAAGTAAACCTTTGGTTTCCATTCACTGATAAATGGGAGGCACAGTTTCACCAGAGAAGATACTGGGGTTTATTTTGAAGACAGTATCTTTTTAAAATCTATTTATCTGTCTGCACCTGGTGGCATGCTGGATCTTAGCTCCCCGACCAGGGATGGAACCCAGGGCTGCTTGCAGTGAGATTGGGCAGTTCCAAACACCGGACTGCCAGGGGAAATCCCTTGATTCTTTTTTAAGAGATGTACTTTTTTTTAAAAGATCTTATTTGATTGCAAGCTATCTTTGTTGCTGCACTTGGGCCTTCCCTAGTTGCAGCGGGGGCTACTCTTCGTTGCCATGCGTGGGCTTCTTATTGTAGTAGCTTCTCTTGTTGTGGAACACAGGCTCCAGGCACTCAGGCTCAGAAGCTGTGGTTCATAGGCTCTAGAGCGTGGGTTCAGTAGTTGTAGCACATGGGCTTTAGTTGCTCCTCAGCATGTGGTGGAATCTTCCCAGGCCAGGGACTGAACCTGTGTCTCCTGCACTGGCAGGCGGACACCCATCTACTGTACCATCAGCGAAGTCCATGGATGAACATTTTAAAACTGCATGTAGTAAAACTTAGTAAGTACATTTAAAAGGAATGCAGATGAAAATATATGGATGACATGAGATGGTAGGCATTGTTACTATATAGTTTATTTAAACCAAACTATGATAATACAGAGGAAAGACTGAGGTGGCAGCTGCCTGGAATCTTTGTGGATTACAGATGCAAACTGGCTGGAGAAGAGTCAATAACAGACAAAAGTCAGTTGCATAAATACAGAGAACATAAGACACAAGACATTTCACAGCTTTTTGCTTTGCGCTTCCATTTTAAACATATGTATGTTACAAGTTTACATTTTAAATTACCACTTCCCATACTCTAACAATGGCTAAGGATGCAGTGGGTCCCATTCCCCCTGACACAAGCAGACACTGGTCTGCAACAGGGAACATTCCGGGGGGGATACCAAACAAACTCCTAACACACAACATACAAAAAAAGATTCTTAAAAAAAAATCAGATTAATACAATGCTCTTCAGGTTATATGAGGAAGAAAAGGGAAAAAATAAGATATTAGGGGTAGGGGTCCTTTAAATGGAAAGTATCTTGAGGTCTTAAAAGTGTCATTCCCTTCCTTCAAGGGAAAAACAATTTTTTTTTAAGCTAATGGAAAAAATAAAGAAAGCAACATTGTAACACCCTCCTGAGGAAGCACACTATCCTGACAGTGCTTAGATGCTTCCATATAATAAATATAGCAGGTAGCAGAGCAAATGTCACAAGTATTGGCTGGGTTCTTATTTCTATGCTTATAAAAAAAAATACTAAGCTTCTTTGTGTAGACTGAATAGTGTTAGCCTGTGGGTGTTGGTCTTCAATGTCTGTACACTGGGGGCTGTTTATACTCCAGGCCCATCCTTTAAGCAAGCTCCAGTGCCAGATGTCTGTGGCTATTTCCCAGGGGAAGAGTTCTCATCATCACTTTATTGTAATAGGGTTCCCGGCTCTGTTACATGCTCATGTGTTCCGGAAGAACATATGAAATATCATCCCATGGGTGACGGTAGAGCCCCTGCTTCAGCCTCTTCTGATCAAGATAGTGTCCTAAAATAGAGCAAACGCATCTTTTTGTTAAGAGCTGCTGAGTGTTCAGTTTTGGTGAGGGAGAGAATATAAGGAAGGGAAATCTTACTAATACACACAAAACATGGGGAAGTACATCTAGATCCATCCCACAGGTAGATGTTTGCATTGGTAAAAGGAACTGTTGGATTTCATTCTGTTTTCCTAGGCTAGCAATCAAACTCATTTCCAAGAAAAAAGGAACAAATATAAAGCGGAAGTTAAAAAAGGAAGAATTAACATCAGTGATCAAGACAATGTGACAGCTCTCTGATAGAAACTGGCCTGGGGAATTCCCTGGTGGTCCAGTGGTTAGGACCCAGATTTGCCCCAGCTTGAGGAACTAAGATCTTGCAAGCTGTGCAGGACAGCCAAAAAAAGAGAAAGAAACTGGCCACATAGGTAATTGGTATACCTGAACCACGGGGTAAAGCAAACAAAAACCGAAACCAAACAGAACTCTTACTACCAACTTACCGATGAAGCCCATACTCCTTCCCAGCACAAAGATGCCGTTGAGGGCTCCAATGTCAATATATTCATCAGCTTCCTCCCTGTAACACACAATTCACTTGTAGTTTTCAAATGGCTCACATGACTGCCCTCCTCCCCACAGACACTATAATTTCTGCCCAGGAATGAGAAGCTAGCTCTCTTTGGACTCTAATTAGTAAAGGGAGGGTGTTCTGGGTGGTAGGCATACAGACAATTCTTAATGCTCTCTAATGAACGTGCACTGCTCTTGGAGTTGGGAGGAATCACCAAGAAAAATCAATAAACGTTAGGAGGAAGAAAATAGCTGCAAGCTCACCGAGTAAAGGACCCGCAGTGTCTAAGCATGTCTACAAATGCGACTCCAATTAAACCATCTACATTCAGGATAAGGTTTGGTTTCTGGGAAGGCAAAAAAAAAAAAAAATTCAATGCATTTTTCATCACTATTCATTTTTGTTCCACATGATGTTCCACTATGACTACTAAAACTACTACTATGAATTCCTGACCGCTATTTAAAAGCCTCCCACCAACACATCCCAGTTAACAGGAGAGACTGTCTTGATTTCTAAGGTCTAGCAGAGAACTCTCGACACTGCGTACGTGTCAAGTTAGTTAAGCAACAGAAACAAAAATCTTTCAGAAAACCAGGTTCGATTTTAGCTGCACAATCAAACTGTGACTTGGCAGTCATTTTCTCCAAGAAATTCACCCAAACTCCTGATTTGGGAATTAGGAACATTTCTTTTTACCTTGGAAGTGGTAATCTTCTCTACTTCCAGTGCGTAGTCGAGCAGGGGGGTGGCAGGGAAGTGCTGTCTGACATAATCTTTGAGGATCTGCACACGCATGTCTGGGTTGTTGATCTAGGAAGTGATCCAAAGTTAGAGGAACCACTCTGACATGGCTGTTCAAAGACCTGTTCCTGGGACTTCCCTGGTTGTCCAGTGGTTAAGACACCACACTTCCACTGCAAGGGGCATGGGTTTGATCCCTGGCGGAGGAACTAAGATCTCACAAGACATAGGACCAAAAAAAAAAAGACGTGTTCTTGCTTGTGGCACAGGTAGACACAGCTGTACGTGTCATATCCACTGCTGTGAGTTTTAAAGTTTCTGATGTCCTCTCATATTTGAGCCTCAAAACCACCTGAGACGTGGAGATGTTGGATAAATTAGCCATGGCTCCTACAGGGTCAAGCAGCAGGGCGCAGGACTTCCCTGGCGGTCCAGTGGTTAGAACTCTGCGCTTTCACTGGCAGGGGCCCAGGTTCAATCCCCCGTTGGGGAACGAAAATCTCAGGCCGAGCAGCACAGCCAAAAACCAAACCAAACAACAAACCAAAAAAACCCCCAAAAGCAGCACGCACCTTCCAATGGAAGTCTGAGGTTCTAGCCACTAGCCACACTGCTCATCAGCAACCTAGTCAAGATGTAACCAAGTTCTACAAAGTTTTTAGTTTTTAACTAAGTAAGCACATGTTGGCAGTGGATCAGCAAAGTACCCCTGAAATTCCAAGAAACCCTCTGGACCTGCAATGAGTGTAGATGAACTCTCGGTTCAGAGACCCACGCTAGGCGGTCCCATCAGCAGGAGAGTGAGACGGACTGGGTGCCAAGTCCCAATACCACAGTGACCTCTTCCCTTGGCCAAGACACACAAGGCCAGGATGGACTCCAGAAAGGAAGGCACACAAAGGCTGGGCATGGCCGCACAGGTGTGACGCGAGCCAGGCAAGGTGCCCTGTGCCGTGCATGCACCGTCTGCCTGGGAGCTGGGGGTGGCTGGCCCATATGGAATGTCCCTCAGCAGAAACCACTGTCTCCGGTTCAGTCTCTGCCATCCAGCCACCTTTGGACTTAGCCTGCACTGGCCCAGCGTGGGGATGCCGGGATGAACGCAGGATCCTCTTGTATTAATCCGAGTCATACACCCCACTTAGGCTAGCAGAGTGACTAACTCCCTGAGGTCTCTGGAGCGGTGGAGCCATGGACCCTGAACTGTCCCTGTGGGGCTCCAAGCAGCTGCCACATCTTC